AGGCTCCACATTTGGACTTTCAGCAGATGGGCCGCCTTTCAGCCTGGCCATTGGTCCCTGACACAGGCTTACAAGCTGCAGGAGTGCTTTGGTCTCCAGGATGAGGCCCCCAGCCCTTTGTGCTCTGTCCAGGAGTGATCAAGGCCCAGGGTGATGGTTTCAAGAGAGGAGAGCCTGCAGTCCTTGGGTACAAGCACCTTCTTTCTTCCCTAGGACCACACGGTTTGCCTCATTCCCTGACTACCTGGTCATCCAGATCAAGAAGTTCACCTTCGGCTTAGACTGGGTGCCCAAGAAACTGGGTATGGTGGCCGGGCTGAGGGCGGTGAAGCAGGCTTTGCTAGAAAACAAAGGGCCTTAGCACACACAAATCAGTGTTTCTCAGACGTCTCAGAAAAAGGAAAAAATTAATATTAGATGTTTCAAAATGCATCTGGTTTGAAAAGCATAAAACTATTGAATCTTTGATTTTTTTCTTCTTTTTTTTTTTTTTCAGACGGGTTCTGGCTCTAAAGCCCAGGGTGGCCTCATACTAGCACTCTACCTGTCTCAGCTCCCAAGTATTAGGATCATAGGTGTCTGCTGTGAAGCTTGGCTCAGTTGTTTTCATTTTATAGTTAGGATTTACAACTGAAAATTATTTTTGTGGTGTTAGCTTTATAATTTCATTTTGATAATTTTGAAACACCTAAATAGCTGGGCATGGTGGCACACACCTGTAATCCCAGCACTCAGCAGGCTGAGGCAGGAGGATCGTTGCAAGTTTGAGACCAGCCTGGGCTACAAAATCAGCTCAAGACCAGCCTGAACTGCATAGCAAGACCCTGTCTCAAAAAAAAGATAAAAAGAAACACCTCATGAGTCTTACAGCTCTAAGGCTGTCAGTTGAAAACTGCTGATTTACCTTCATTTTCTAGATAAGGATGTTGAGACCCACAGAAGCGTTAGTTCCTCTGTCTCACCAGTTGAAGGCCGTTTTTTCAGTAGCTCTTGGTGGTAGAGCTCCTGACTTGTGGACTCACTAGAATTTCTGTGATGCTAAGATCTCTGAAGTTGGTACTACACTTAGTAATTCCTTCTTTCTGAGCAGTTCTAGGCTATGGGGCAAGGCACTGAGAATCACAAAAAAAATTTTTTTTAATTAAGTTTATTGGTAAGATTTAGGTGTATACTGTGATCACATTCATCTTAGGGCATTTATACCTGAACATGATACACTTTGTCTTTTTTTTTTTTTTTTTTTTTTTCCACAAAGTGTTTTTGCAGGTGGGCCTTGGGGGCTGTTGAGGTGACCCTTCTGCCCTTCTAATTGCAGATGTGTCCATTGAGATGCCAGAAGAGCTAGACATCTCCCAGCTGAGGGGTACAGGGCTGCAGCCGGGAGAGGAGGAGCTGCCTGACATTGCCCCACCCCTAGTCACTCCGGATGAGCCCAAAGGTAGCCTTGGTTTCTATGGCAACGAAGACGAAGACTCCTTCTGCTCCCCTCACTTCTCCTCTCCAACATGTTAGTGACTCTTCTTCCTGCCTGCGTCTCCTATGCTGATGGGGGGCCTCTCTGCCTTGCTTCCCCAGACCCTGTCCTTTGTGTTTCTACTGTCCTCCCTTTCACATTTCCTCTGCCGTCTTTTGATGGATGGGGGGACCAACCAGAACACTCCCAGCCACATTCTGCATTTGGATGATGGTGGCATTGGCCTAATTGCCCCTCTGTACCCTTGTTACTGCCTTAGTTTGGGTGGAATGGGGACATCATACTTTAGAAGTGGGCCCATTCTGAGAATGACAAGAAGGTGATACTGTTTGGGATGCTAGGCCCACATTACAGTTTGTGTTACTTTTAGCTCTGGGCTAAAATGCCATCCATGGAAGAAAAATGCATGGAATGGGTGATTGGAATGGGTGACTGGGGCCCAGCATGTGGGAGGAAAAAAGTAAATAGAAATCATAGCCCAGCAGTCAGGTCATGGTGCCCATGTTTCCCTGTCACAGCACCCATGTTGGACGAATCTGTCATCATACAGCTGGTAGAAATGGGCTTTCCCATGGATGCCTGCCGCAAAGCTGTCTACTACACAGGCAACAGTGGGGCTGAGGCTGCCATGAACTGGGTTATGTCCCACATGGATGATCCAGGTAGGCAGGAGCAGGTGGCAGGGTGGACCAGGGCCCCCATCGTCTTCCACACACTTTAACCCCTCCACACCCACAGATTTTGCAAACCCCCTCATCCTGCCTGGCTCCAGTGGGCCTGGCTCCACAAGTGCAGCAGCTGACCCCCCACCGGAGGACTGTGTGACCACCATCGTGTCCATGGGCTTCTCCAGGGACCAGGCCCTGAAAGCTCTGCGGGCAACGGTATGATTGCCCTGGTGAAGGACCCGGAGCCCATGGGAAGAAGGGGGTGGGCCTGAGGTTCCATCTTGGGTGAGTAAGATCAAGGACCAATGCTGGGGGAAGTGCTCAGTGGCTGCAGTGGAGGAGCTGAGGCTGGTCAGGAAAAGTAACACTTCCCTCCTCTCCAAGAACAATAGTTTGGAACGGGCGGTGGACTGGATCTTCAGTCACATTGACGATCTGGATGCAGAAGCAGCCATGGACATCTCTGAGGGCCGCTCAGCTGCTGACTCCATCTCTGAGTCTGTGCCGGTGGGACCTAAAGTCCGGGATGGCCCTGGAAGTGAGTGTTCCTGGGAAACAGGACAGACCTGGTGGTGTCTACCACTGTGGTACACCAGGGCCCTCATTCCAAGCAGCTCTGCTTTTCTTAGGCCAGAGGGTTCCTTTTCCCACGAACAGGACTTATGAGGGTGGGACCTAGCAGGCTCAGGTGGCTTTGGCCCAAGACGTTCCCCCACATCCCCTGAAGCTCCTGCTCCGAGTTTGAGCTGTTACATACATCTCGGAACTGTCACTCAAGGGTCTTTCTCCTATTTTCCCCTCTGCCTTCTGTCTGTCTCATTCCCCAGAGTATCAGCTCTTTGCCTTCATTAGTCACATGGGCACCTCTACCATGTGTGGTCACTACGTCTGCCACATCAAGAAGGAAGGCAGGTGAGGGCTGGCCGTGTGCAGTGGGAGTGAGGTGGTGGTGGGAGTGAGGAGGGGCACCTGGAAGTCCCTAGGGGTCTTCAGGACTGTCTGAGGGATGTGATACACCTGAAGCCGGGAGGATTCATTGCCGCACAGAGAGGTGGACTATAGCCCAGGGGCTGAATCTGGTCACCTGCCTCAGCCAGTGGCATGTGGCTGGACAGTCACTGGTTGTTTACTGCCTGTGAACGCGTGTGGCAACAGGGAAGCTGAGTAGTTGCATCAGATCAGAGGCCTGCAAAACCAAACATACTGACTGGCTCAGAAAGGCTGCTGGCCCTGCCTGTTGGGGCTGTGTGGAGGGTGGCTGGAAGTGGAGGGTCTGAAGACACCAGGGAAGCAACCCTTACTAGATCCAGAAGTTCCCTCCAGAGCACAGCGGCCAGACTCCCTTGGGAATCAAGGCAGAGAACGCTGAGGGTTTTGCCCCAGGAGCTCTCCCAACCCCAGGGGCTGGCTGAGAGATGAAGTTGGTGTGACTTGGAATGCTCTTTGTGCATCCTTTTCCGTCTCTTCCACCTCCCCAGATGGGTGATCTACAATGACCAGAAAGTGTGTGCCTCCGAGAAGCCACCCAAGGACCTGGGCTACATCTACTTCTACCAGAGAGTGGCCAGCTAAGACCATCCCATCCTATCCATGGAGTCCAAGGGACAGAACAGCAGGCATGAGGGCCAGGGCCTGTAGCCCCTGCTGTGCACCTTTTTCTTCTGTCCCCAGCAGCAAGGAAGGAGCTTGAGGCCATAGGAAAATGGCCAAGCAGAGCAGAGGGCACTGGAGTAGCAGGGGCTAGCGCCGGGCCCACTGCCCAGCTGTAAAGAGACTTGCTTCCCCTGCGCCTCGCACAGTGCTCTGCTTCTCCGAGCTGCCCTGACCAGCCCTGACCAGGGCCGGTTCTGATTTGGGTGCCGTGGGTGTGGCTTTGTGCATCCTCTTCCAGGGGAGGGAGCTTTGCCCTCCCCTGCCCCTATGTGTTCACTCTTGTTTGGGCAAGGAGGGATATGAGGGACATGGGGACTGCCCCCTTTGCCCTCCTGCCTCAGTCTTTCCCCCCATCCTGTCTCTTCCTTGTCCTCTGGAAAATGCCAAATTACACGATGTGAATAAAAGTACATTGGGAAACCATCCTGTTCGGTACTTTGGGAGGGGCTTGCCTTCCTGGGGAAGATGAGGAAGCTCAGCTCTGTCCCTTGCCCCCCCCCCCAGTGCAGTGAGATGGGGAAGTAGGCTAGAGTGACATGAAATGCAGCGCAAAGCCAAGGAAAGGTGGGGCCCTGCCTGATTGTTTCCCAAAACCCGCCGTGGCAGCCGGGTGTGGTGGTGCACGCCTGTAATCCCAGCACTAGGCACTAGGAAGCTGAGGCAGGAGGATCGTTGTGGGTTCGAGACCAGCCTGGGCTACAAAGTGAGCTCAAGGCCAGCCTGAACTGCATAGCGAGACCCTGTCTCAAAAAAAAACAACAACAAAAAGCTCCTGTGGTGTCTTGTAGGCCTCACTCGGGCCAGCTGGGGCTAGGGTGAGCTGTTCGGGTGGAAGAGAAGTGTCCGCACATTTGCCGCGGGGTTCGGCTGCGCAGGCGTGGGCTGCCCCTTCCCCTATTTGCCTGGCACCTGCGGGCCAGTCCCAGGACGCCTGCGGAGCTACCTTGAGAGTAGGGGCCTCTTTCCCAGGGCCGGTGCTCCCCAGGGAGCGAGCTGAGCCAAGCTCAAGTTGCTGCTCCGGGTAGGACTTCAGTCCATCCTTGGGGCTGAAGTCGAGAAGTGGGTTTCCCGAACACAGGTGCTGGCCTCCTTCCGAGCCAGGCGTGCAGGCGGGAGCGCCCAGCCCCAGCGCTGGAACGAACGTTGCTAGGCGGTGGACGCTGGAACCCCGCGGGGGAAGGGGGCGGGGCAGGGCGGGGCGCGATGCGGGCTTCTGCTTCGCCAGCCTCTACATAAGCAGGCCGTGCCCGCGGCTGCGCGCTGATCCTGACCTTCAGTGTGTCGGCTCCAGCACCATGGCGCCGTCCAGGAAGTTCTTCGTGGGGGGCAACTGGAAGATGAACGGGCGGAAGAACACCCTGGGGGAGCTCATCAACACCCTGAACGCCGCCAAGGTGCCGGCCGACACTGGTGAGCGCTCTGCGGGAGCCGCGGGGCCTGGGAAGCTCGGGCCTGGCAGCGTCCTCCCCAGTCCCCACGCGGACCTGGGCCCGGGGCTGAGGGGCAAGGATGTCTGGTGCCCACACAGTGGCCCCACAGCCGCGGGGCCCGAGCTGCGTCGAGAGCATTTGCCGGTGTCCATGGCCTGTGGGGCGGGAAGGGACTCCCTGGGTCCCCGGGAGGAAGATGGCCCTCGGGCCAGAACTGGGGCCGCGCCGGCCAGAGCTGGGGAAGGAGCTGAGCTGAGCGGAGCAGAGCCTAAGCCCATAGGGTCGGTCAATCGGGAGAAGCAGCTTGAGCCCCGACAAGAGGGGGAGGAGGCTGGGCTGGCGCGCACGCTCCCCGCTACCTGGCCCGGCCGCGCCGCTCATCGTGCGCCTCCGCACGTAGCCTGAGGCTCCTCCCCATGCCTCTGGGTCTCAGATCCCTTCCCCTCTGCAGCCTTCCGCAGCAGGGTTTGAGCTGGTACTAAACAGGCTGAGCCACTGGGAATGATGAGAGGGTCCTACAGCTTCCCCGAACGTGGAACTGGAGAGCACAAGGCCTCTATGAGCTAATGGACTCCAGGCCGCCCACTGGCAAAGTGCTGACCTCCATCCCTAACCCACCCGCCGAAATCACAGAGCCACGGGTCTGGCCACAGGGGCATCCCTTTCTGTCTTAGTCCGCAAAAACAAATATATGGTCAGGAGTCGGCCCCTTCTTTTGCTGAAAATCAGTGCCTTGTTGGGTAAGGGGGAGTGGACTATTTTAGAAGGGAAGCAGGGCTGGCCCCCGGAGAATGCTGAGTCTGAGAGGTACCCATGCCCAGAATAGCCCAAGGAAATTGGAGCCACAGCTGTTAAAAGAGCAGAGGGCAGAGAGAGAGCTGTACCCTGTCAGGGGCGTTTGGATGGCTCCACGGTTGGGTGCAGGCCCAGCCTGGGCTGGGAAGTGGACAGAGGTCATCTTGCTGGGGTAAAAAGGGGAGAGCAGAAGGAAGGAAGGAGGGATGGCTGGGGGGCTCCCTGGCATGGGGAACTTTCATGGATCTCATCTGTTGCCATGATTTCATGCCCAGAGGTGGTTTGTGCACCCCCCACTGCCTACATCGACTTCGCCCGGCAGAAGCTGGACCCTAAGATAGCTGTGGCTGCTCAGAACTGCTACAAAGTGACTAACGGGGCCTTCACTGGGGAGATCAGGTGAGAGAAGTGGAGAGGATGCCTTGCTCAGGGGAGAGCCACGAGGTGGGTTTCCTGGTGAACTTTGGCGTATCTGTTCCTTCAGCCCTGGCATGATCAAAGACCTTGGAGCCACATGGGTAGTCCTGGGCCACTCGGAGAGAAGGCATGTCTTTGGGGAGTCAGATGAGGTGAGTAGTGACCAGGACAGGAGATAGAAGATGCCTTGTTTCTAGAGGGTGTCTCACCAGCTCTGCCCCCCACAGCTGATTGGGCAGAAGGTGGCCCATGCCCTGGCAGAGGGACTAGGAGTTATCGCTTGCATCGGGGAGAAGCTTGATGAAAGGGAAGCTGGCATCACGGAGAAGGTCGTTTTTGAGCAAACCAAGGTCATCTCAGGTATCTCCAGAGAAGGGGACATGTGTGCCTTGGGGGTTGGGCAGAGATAGAGTGTGTGGGGTGGAACACCCTTTAGCTTGCCTTGGGGTTTCCTTGCTTGGTCCTTAGCACATTTCTGTCCTGGAGAGCACAGATGTCATCCAGAGACTCCTCAAAGCCACCAGGGGGCAGTAGGCCATCATTCCTCATACCCTGGGGGACTTGTCTGGATAGCGCCTTCATAGTTACCCTTTTCTTTGTGATCTCTGTCCTGCAGATAATGTGAAGGACTGGAGCAAGGTTGTGTTGGCCTATGAACCTGTGTGGGCCATTGGTACCGGAAAGACAGCAACACCTCAACAGGTACCTGGGCCCAGGAGCCCTGCCCTCATCCTGTCTTGCCTCAGAACCAGATAGGCATAGAGACCATCTGGGCCTTCTCTCATTTTATTTGTTTCTTTTTTAAAAAGGCATAGGATGGATTTACTAGAGGAAGATATAGGACATACTTGAGTAGAGTGTGGGTGCTCAAAGACATGAGGCATAGTACAGTTAGGAACTAGGGATTTTTTTTTTTTTTTTTGTCTTTTTAAGGCAGGGTCTCGCTATACAGTTCAGGCTAACCTTGAGCTCACTTTGTAGCTCAGGCTGGTCTCAGACTCACAAAGATCCACCTGCCTCAGCCTCCCGAGTGCTGGGATTACAGCTGTGTGCCACCATGCCCGGCACTAGGGATTTTTTGTGTTTTTGGGCGGTGGAAATCTGTGGAATTTGATAACCTAGTTTTAGTCTCAGAGGGTGGGAGAGGATGGTCCACTCTTAGTGAGCTATTCCTAGGGAAATGCCAGAAGGGCAGTCCCTTCCTGGGTATAAGAGGACCATTTGCTAGTAAAATGGGACAGGCAGACCCCTTTGCAGCTGAAAGGGAGCTGCTCAGGTTTGCTGTTTTGGGAGAAAGAGAAAATGTAAATACAAAGAAAAAACATTAATAAACCCAGGCTTGTATTCTGAAGCTGCAGTTTCTCTTTAAAGTACAACTTTTAAATTTTTGATTTCCTTGTCTCCTTTCTACCTATTTGTCTTCCGTAAGTCCCTCATTTTAGAGGTGGAGTCCCCAAGCCTAGAGAGACAGTGACTTGTTCCAGGGCATCCATTCCAGGGCCTGGTTGGGAAGAGAGCCATGGCATTCTGACTCAGGTCCCAAGGTTCTTGCATGGAAACCAAACTAACTCTACTAGGCTGGGTATGGTGGCACACACCTGTAATCCCAGCACTGGGAGGCTAACACAGGAGGACTGTTGTGAGTTCGAGACCAGCCTGGGCTACAAAGTGAGCTCAAGGCCAGCCTGAACTGCATAGAGAGACCCTGCCTCAAAAAGACAAAAAAAAAAAACCAAAATAAACCAAACTAACTCTACTGGTGCTAGTGATTTTTCCTATTTGGCTGAGGAGCAGGACATGTCTTACTTAGTCTGCTTTTTCATTCTAGGCCCAGGAAGTACATGAGAAGCTCCGGGGATGGCTTAAGTCCAACGTCTCTGATGCAGTGGCTCAGAGCACCCGGATCATTTATGGAGGTGAGTGGCGTTGGCCTCCCACCTGTGGGGTGGGCTGGGTGGGAGATGGAGGCAGGGATGGGGACGTACTCACCTTTCTCCCCCTTCCCAGGTTCTGTGACTGGGCCAACCTGCAAAGAGCTGGCAAGCCAGCCTGACGTGGACGGCTTCCTTGTGGGTGGTGCTTCCCTCAAGCCCGAATTTGTGGACATCATCAATGCCAAACACTAAGTGCCATCATCTCCCCTACCCTTCCTGCTAAGCCAGGGGACAGACAGCCCAGAAGCCCATCGATGCCCCCCCATGCTTCTGATGATGTCACCTGCCCCTCCAGCGGCCCAGTCCAGCGCACCTTCCTTGAGTGTTTACACCTCCCCATAACGGTTGGGACCAGGCCAATCCTTTCACCGCTTACTCTGATCAGAGCTGCGAGGTTGCTGCTCCTTGACTGAGAGGCAGAAGGAATGGAGCTTGCTCATGGTCCCCCTCAGGCCCTGCTGAGGGCAGTATAGAAGTCATCCTCTCCATCACACCTTGACAGTCCTCCCTTTAGAGGCAGGGATGCTCCCCTCTCACAGTGCTGACCCTGTGTGTGCTGTGTCTGAGCTGTCCCACATGTAAGGGAAATAAACACCTGGCACTAAGGTATGTGCTTGTCCTTCACTGTACTTGCCCATATTTGTTATTTTTTGAAACAGGGTCTCCCTATGTAATTCATGCTGGCCTCAAACTCACAGTGACCCTCCTGCCTCAGCCTCCCTAGTGCTGGGATTACAGGTATGCCCACCACACCCAGCAATCTCTGTCCTTTTTAAGGCAGTTACAGGACTTTATCACTTGTGCAAAAAAAAAAAAAAAAAAAAAAATAACAAAACCAAACAACCATGAATAGGTTTCTATAATAATGTATCTCTTACTTTTTTCACCTTTAACATTTACTTTTTTTTTTTTCTGGTATCGGGAATTGAACTCAGGACCTCACGCTTGCCAGGCAGGTGTTGCACCATTGAGCTAAATCCACAGCCCCTCTCCTATTACTTGAAAAAGGTCTTGAATACCAAGCTGTGGCACCCTGGAATATCCTCTTGCCTGGGCTGTTCTGGTGCCTGTGGTCCTGTTGAGATCCCAGAGCTTGGGCTGCAGAAGAGGCCCAGCCTCACTGGCTTTAGTAGGTCCAGGGTAGGGGTGGTGTCACAGGGTCACTGGTAAAGCAGGTATCGCTTCATGGCAAGGGGTAAGGGCAGAGCAGACACTTGGAGAAGCCGGGTATCCCCCAGGGTGTGGCGCACACACAGGCGGCTCAGGTGCAGGAGGGAGTGTGGCTCCGCTGGAGGAGAGAAGGCAGGAGGTTAAGCAGGACACGGCCTGACCACACTCCTCACACTACAAGGTCCTACCCAGCTTCTGCTTTCCTGCTCTGAGCCTGCCTCCTGGCTGAGGGAGATCTTGGGCTCCCTGGAGTTCTGTATTGCACATCCCTAGTTGGCCAGGGGTGACGCTCCCTGTCCCTCCAAGCAGCAGGCCAAGGTGGCTCCAACAGTGGTAGAGCTGGCCCAGGCTTGGATTCCAGAAAAGCCCTTGGAGCTAGGCTTAGGAGGCGCAAGGAAGGCTGACCTTTCTCCACTGTGCAGTCTCTCTGGGTGACAGGAGGTCAGGCATTTGGCCTCTGCTGAGGCCATCAACTGCCAGAGCCAGCTCCCAAACCTGGCCTCAGTTCCCAAGGAGGCACCGCCCCTTCGGCCCCACCCAAGGCCTGGCTCTGCTCTCCTTCCTGGTGCCCTGGGTCCCTGTGGCTTCATCGTGGGGTTTGAAGAAGGAAGTAGCTATGTGGCTCAGAGACAGGTCAGATCCCAGCGAATCTGCTACACTTTGGGTGCCTGGCACTGCCAGTCCTTTTTGGGGCTGTACACCCAGCCCACTTACCTGTCCAACCCTTCGCCCTTCTTGTTCAGGAGGTGTTATCTCCTGTGAAGTCTAACCCTGCCTTCCTCCATCCTGTGGTGCAGCCACGTACTAGCCAGAAGAACCCGGAAGTTGCTTTCCCAAGCCTTGGCTTTACCTGTTGCTGGTGGACTGAATTAGACCCTTGGCCATGCCTGGCCCCAAACAGACAGGTCAAATGAAGACCCACCCACACTTGAGGACCCACCCCAAACCGCGGCCACCAGTGAGTCCTCTCCCCACACTCGGCCCTGGCCTCACCTCTCCTCTCGCCCAGGTAGCGGATGCGGACCTGGCACTGGCCCCAGACTGCGCTTACGGCGGGATAGAGGGTCCTGCCCTTCAGTCCGCGGAAGGCTGGCCCCAGGTAGGTGCCCCCAACAGCGTAGCCCAGAGTTCCCTCCTCCATGTCCAGAACCACCAGCAGCCTCTCCGGCACCGCCAGCTGCTCACCCTGTGGTCGGGCTGGATACCGGGGAGCGTCAGGGCCCTTGCTCTGATGGTACAGCCTCCCTCGCCCAATGTCCCAGCCCCACGACTCGCTGTTGCTGCCCAGCAGCGCCGCGTAGTGGTCAGCCTGCAGCGGGGCGCTAGCCGTGGCCACGCCCACCACGGCGTGAGTGCCCCTCTGCTCCCGGGGCCAGCTGATCTCCCAGGCGTGCAGGCCCCGCGAGTAGCCCCTCTTTCCCCGGGCCCCATCCGTGCTCTGGGCCACCGGCCGCCGCTCAAAGCACAACCCCTCTTCCTTGACCACGATGTTCTCGGAGCAGTCCTTGGGGTTCCAGCCGTGGTGCCTTTGGGCCCCCAAATCTAGAGGGGGAGCGGACAGGAGCTCCTCCAAGCCCTCGGGACGAGAGGGGTCCGGGTAGAGGGCCTGCGGGGCAGGGGTGCTGCTACCGCCCGCTGCCAGGGCCGTCTGGCCCATGGAGGTGAGCAGCCGGCCGACTCCCCCGGACAGTCTTGCAGGGGCGCCTCTCTTGTAAAAGTGCAGCTCCAAGAGGGACTGATCTGCAGGGGAGATGGGAGGGAAAGGGACCTGAAGCGCAGTGCCCTGGGGGGTCCTCACCCAGGCACCCCGTCTTTTCACCCCTGCGCGCAGACCGGCCTGCGTCCCCAAAGCTCCTGGGTCCATCACCCTGCCTGCGCCCCATCTGTGTCGGGTCGCACGGAATGCCAAGTCCACCCCCTTCCGACCTCTCCATGGGCCGCCCCCCGTGGCCGCCCCGAGCTCCTGCCGCCACCGTCCCCAACCTCGCCTGGTCTCCGTCCTGGCCGGGGGCCGCAGGACCTCGGAAGGAAGCAGCCGAGAGACGCCGAGGGGGCACCGGGATCTGCGGGAACCGCTTCCGCCTCCAGCGCGGAGCCCCGCCCCCGGGCGGTTGACCCGCCAGTCACCGCTCAGGCCACGCCCCCTGGATCGCCGGCGGTGGCCACGGCTTCCGGAGGCGGAAGCGGACTGCGCCCGCCTCGCGGGTCAGTGTAGGAGCCCGCGCGGTTTGCTGAACCTCTGGTCACCTCCCCAGGGGTGACCTGCGCGGAGAGGACTCCAGGACAGTATTCCTCCCGTCGCCGCCCCAGCGTCCACCCGGGCGGTCCCTACTCTGAGTGAAGCCTCTGATGACGAACCGCGTTCTGGGACCCCTATGGCTGTGCACGGTGGATACGGGTGGGCTGCCTGGGCGGCTGGCTCCTCAACCCCTGAGGACAAGGGGTATGGAGTCCTGTAAGCACCTCCATTTGACGGCCTGGTTTCCAAGTCCCTGAGACTCTGGGTCACTGTTGATGGGGTGGTCTCTTTCTGTCCTAGGCCAGACTCACCCTGGGCTGCTGACACCAGGTTTCGAACTGTGTCCAGGGCTCCGGGCTGTAGGTGTCTGGTCTCCAGCTGTTCTTCACACAGCAGTCAGTCCCTTCCTAGACTGATGGTCTCTGTCAGTCGGTAGAGCACAGGGCTAAGGCTTTGTTGTTTTAAGATGTGGGTCTCACTATGTAGCCTGAATTGAAGCATCCTCCAGCCTCAGCTTCCTAAGTGGCTGGGACTACAAGTGTGTGCCTCCTTGTCCTGTTTCAGAGAGCTGTTCCAAGTGACACGCTGGGGAGGTTGCCAAACTATCCAAATGTGTTTCCTCTTATGTACAATGGGAATAAGGAGAGTAGTTACATCACAAGGTTGTCTTAGAGTGGAAACAATGTAGGTGAAACATGCAAAGTGGCATGTACTTGTAACCCCAGCTACTCTGACGGCTGAGGCAAGAAGATAATGACTTTGAGGTCAGCCTAGGAAGAAAAATAGACTATTGCTAAAAAGAAAAAAAAAAAAAAAAAAAAAAAAATCCAGGCTTGGTGGCACACACCTGTAATCCCAGCACTCGGGAGGCTGAGGGAGGAGGATCCTTACAAGCTCGAGACCAGGCTGGGCTACAAAGTGAGCTCAAGACCAGCCTGAACTGCATAGCGAGACCCTGTCTCAAAAAGCCAAAAAATAAAATAAATCCAGGAAGAGCACTTAGCACACAGCCTGGTACATAGCAAGGACTCCCTGAGCATAACTGTTGCTTATGGAATATTTCTTAAGTGCCACTCTAAGCAAGGCGACATGAAAGATGCCAAAGACACTGAACCAGACTGGTTACAAACACGTGAAGGCCAGCATGCATTGACCTCCTGAGCCTGTTTATCAGACCTTTCATGTGTATCTATTGCATATCTATAGACAAGATGTAAAGCATTTAGAAGTTTCTGGCTCTAATTCAATGACTTGTGCTAAGTATTGGAGATGAAGTAATAAGTCTTCAAGGAGGATATGAAGACATTTATAAAAGTTTTGAATGTAATGCTGGGTGTGGTGGGCAAGCCTGTCATCCCAGCACTCTGGAGGCTGAGATAAGAATATCTCTGTGAGTTCAAGGGCCAGCCTGGGCTACAGAGTCAGTTCAAGGCCAGCCTGTCTCAACAACAAAACAAAGCAAAACCAATTTAATTTATAAATAAATTAAATAAATAAATAAAAGACGGGTAGGGTGCAAATGCCCTGTGTTCAGTCTCTAGTACCGAGGGGTGGAGAACGTAGGTCAGTGGCAAGGCTCTTGCCTAGCATATGCATATGTGCACCTGGGATCCATCCTCAGTCTCTCCCTCTCCCCACAAAGTATGCCAAGGCCCACCGAAAGGTTTGCACATTGTGTATGTAGTAGCTTGTTTCCACTTTCTAGTGCTGGTAGAGAACCCAGGCCCTCTAAGCCTGAGCTACATGCAGCCTGGCATGTATTTCTGCTGGGTACAAATTTATATAGAACTGCTGAGTTATAAAGAATCACAGTGTACCAACTTAACCACATTTAACACATGGGCTTTATATTTAGCAATTAAGTCACTCAGGTATTTTACTGCATGGGACACTGTAGTGGGTTGGTGGTCAACTTACAACCCCCAGCTGAACTGAGTAAGTGCACTGCTGGATGTGGGAGGCCCACCTGAGGATTGTTGCCAGCAGCATAAGAGACAGAACTAGAAGAGAGGCTGTTGGGAGCTGGCAGAAGCTGTGAGGAGCTGTTGATTCTTTTGGAGGACCTTGTCATGCTGGCTTTCGTGATGAACTTGGCTGTTTTCACCTGCCAAGGAGCTTGAGACCTTGCTGGCACTGAGAATAGCTTTGATTTATTTTGAGGGAGCTCTGGGCCTCACTTTGAACATGGCTTCCTGGCTCCAGAGGGGAAGATGGTGCACACCAGTCTCCTGGAGAAGCTTGTTGCATTGGCTTTCCTGACAGGAACTCAGCCATTTTGATCATGGGAGGAGCTTGGGACCTCACTGTTGCTGAGGATGGCTGTGGTACTTTTTTTCTGCTGGTTCTTACTTTGCATGTCGCTTCCTGGCTCCAGTGCGGATCTTTCAGCCTGCTAGCACAGATCCTTCATCCCGCTGGCACAAACTTCCTAGACGTCCCACCACTGTCCTTTGGGCCTTCGCAGTGCAGATCCGTGAAATAGGTCTGTATGAGACATCAAGGCTCTGGGCCTCCAGTTGGACTCGTGGGAGGCACTATCATGAACTCTAGGTCTTCAGCTGGACTCATGCAGCACATTTCTGTGGGATCCAGGCCCTCAGCTAGATTCCTTGGTCTTAATGTGTGGACAGCTTTCCTGCACTCTCTTGTATATCATTCTTTGGGTGATTATTATAAATAATCTTATAAAATATGTGTCCTGTATTATATTGTTCCCCTTGCAAATATCCCCCAAACCAACACAGACACTTCAGCAAATTTAGAACAATTTAAACTGATCTCTTCCTATTCATCTTTGTCTTTTGGGAATGATTTTATTAGGTCCCTAAGCTTTTTATCAGAGTTTCTTTGTGGCTCTTAAGAAATTCTTAATCAGGGGGCTGGGGATTTCACTCAGTGGCAAAGCGCCTGCCTGGCAAGCGCAAGGTTGTGAGTTCGATTCCTGATACTGGAAGAAAAACAAAAAACAAACAAACAAAAAAATAAATTCTTAATCAGGAGCCATGGTGCAGACCTGTAATCCTGGCTACTTGGGTGGCTGTGGCAGTATAACCGTAAGTTCAACATCAGCCTGTGCAACTTAGTGGGAACCTGTCTGTAGCTCAGGGTGAGGCCTCAAGTTCAATCTGTAATCCCGAAAAAAATTCTTCAGTTTTTTCTTCAATGATATCTTACAAAACCACCCTGATCTGCTTCCATGAACAATGAGTTTCACCTTTGTAGCACAGAAATCATTAAAATCCCAACCACATTCACCCAGTGTACACTTCTTGTTTAAGTGATGTAGCTGGTGATACCAAGGGTGTCAGCTCATGTCACAGTGAGAGGAAGCTCAGCATCCAGAGTGTAGAGAAATCGTGCTGGTGAGTCCAATGAGTGACCATGATGCGGAGGACTCCCTGGGGCCTTTACAAGGGAGACTTTTGTTCGGGGTACCAGAGGGGGCACTGCACTAAAGCTACCTCTGTCCTCTGTGAGATTCCGCCTGCCTGAACCAGGCTGGAGCACAAGCAAGGTCTCTTTTTTGTGCTGGCCTTGAACTCACTTTGTAGCACAGGCTGGCCTCAGACTTGCAGGGATCCTCCTGCCCCAGCCTCCCAAGTGCTGGGATTACAGACGTGCACCACTACACTTGGTTCAGGGTCTTTTTTGTGAGTGCTGCTGAGATCCAACCTAGCATTCTAACCATCCCAGGCAAATGCTCCACCACTCCCCATTTTCCCGGTATACTGGGGTTTAAACCCAGGGATACATAATGCTAAGCACTTGCTCTACCACTTTTGCTATGTCCTGCCACTGTTAGACATGTATTTCTCGTTCGTATCTTCCAGCCCTGTTTAATTTCAGTCTTCATTAAACATTAAACCAGGCATGGTGGTGCACACCTATATTCCCAGCACTCAAGAGGCTGAGGCAGGAGGATCATTGCGAGTTTGAGGCCAGCCTGGGCTACAAAGTGAGTTCAAGGACAGCCTGAACTGCATAGCAAGATCTTGTCTCCAAAAGACTAAAAAAAAAAAAAAAATTAAGAACACTTACTGTGCTGTCACCGCAGCAGTTTTAGAACCGGATGAGCTGGTTTCACAAATTTCTTGAATCTTGATTGCACCAGTAGATAATTCCCTCTCACTGTTTTTGAGACATGGTCTCACTTGATGACTGAATTGCCCAGCCTGGGCTCAAGTTCCTGATCCTCCTGCCTCAGCCTCCCTGAGAGCTGGGATTACAGGCATGCGCGTTTCTTAAAGCCATTATTTTTGTGCCACTTCCCAGACAGAGACCTCCCCCATTGCCTAGTAAGCTAGTTTTCTGTCGGGTGGGAAAGGGATCACTGTTTTCTTGCTTGGAAGCCAAATGACGTGGCTGGACTGCCTTCGGGTGGTCATGGTACACGGAAGGAGGTGTCTGACAGCACTGGACTCTAACTTAAAAACGCACGGGGACAGCAGCCTGCTAGAGTTGCGATGCTCAGAGAGGCCCAGCTGCGGTCTAGGAAACAGTTCATCCTCTGCACAGGCGCGGGAGATGGCCACTGTTAATTCCACGTGAAAGGTGCAGATGATGAAACTCCGTATTTCCTTGTCCCCCCACAACTCATTTTCCCAGTTTTTGCAGACTTCTGCATGAGGTTTAGAAAAGTTAAAATCATCCCTTAACAAGAAACGAATACGGACACTGCGGCGGGGGGTCGGAAACCCGGACCCCGCCCGAAGCCCCGCCCAACCCGCGCTAGTTACGTAACGGCGCGGGGGGGGGGTGCTGGCGCCGGCAGACGGTCACGTGGACGGGGCGGTGTGCGCCCGAGGCAGGAGTGCCGTGCGCGCTCCCGAGTGGCCGCCCCCGCTGGAGCCCACCCGC